TTTTCACTTGGAAACCCAAGTATATAAGGCATGAACTAGATGTACAGATCAAACCTTTACTGATAATAAGTCATAATTCTTAATAACTTTTATTTTGCATGCATATGAATTTTCTGTTTTATTAAAGATGAGAGTAGGACTAAGAATATAGATTAGAATAGAATGCCTGGTATTGAAGTCCGCACTACCTAAGGGTTTAAGATTAGGGAGATGTGTATGCTAACAAGGTAGGTACACTTTTTAAAAAAATGTACAGTGTGTATTTTTTTAAAAGTTTTACAGTGTGTGTGGGCTAATTAGTTTTTTATTGTCTTCTTGACATAGCCTGAGAAGAGGAAACCTCAATTGATAAATTGCCCAGATTGGCCTGTCTGTGACCATGTTTATGAAATTGCCATCATTGATGTGATAGGGCCCAGCTCACTGGATGATGCCATCCCTAGGCATTTGGGTCCAGGCTCTGTAAGAATACTAGCTGAGCACGAGTCAGAAATCTCTGTGTTTCTGCTTCAGTTTTTGTTTGCGCTCCTTCTCTGGCTTTCCCGGATATAGGCTGTAACCTGTACAATGAAATAAGCCGTTTCTTCTCTGAGTTGCTTTTGTTGTTTATCATGGCAACAAGAAGTGTGTGTGTGTGTGTGTGTGTGTGTGTGTGTGTGTGTGTGTACCAGAATGCCTTGTGCTGGTTTATAGCCTGTCTATTAAGATAGGATTATTTGTGTGGGAGTTGGTTCCCTTCTACCATGTAGGGTCTGGAGGTCAAACTGATCTTCATCACGTGTGGCAGCAAAAACCCTTAGCTTCTGAGCTGTCTCACCTGCCTGTGCTTACATCTTTTTACATATGAAGAAATCCTGGCTGAAATGTTTGCTAGTGTAGTCTTAGAGCACCTTCATTATTTTTCAGGGTTGATCAAATTTGATTTTATAATTGTTTATGCTGAAAATATCTCACGTATATAATTAGTACAAATGATAGCAGTATAATACTTGGGTCCATCTCAGAAATTGTTCTAAATCCTCTCTTGATCCCAAGCCAAAATTTGTTAAGTGATTTTTTTTTTTTTTTTCTGTTTCAAGATAACTCAAAACTCAAACAGCAGTGGGGGGAGGGAATATACATGTGCAGGCACAGGTGTGTTTAGGTCAGAAGTGGATGTTGGTGTCTTCCTTCTACGACTCCACACTTTGCCTTTTGAGACAGGCGGTTTGCACATGGAGCCTCCTGATTCATCCAGACTGCCAGCCTGAAAGCCCCGGGGATTGTCCTGTCTAGCTCCGGTTCCTTAGTGCTGGGATTACAGGCATGGCCTGCTGAGCCCAGCTCTGTTAACATGGGTTCTGGGGGTGTTAAAGTCTGTTTTCTGTAATTAAACCATTAGGTTTTTAAAAGAGCTAAACATTTTGCATGTGCAGTTAAAAAAATGAAAACTGCGGTTCATTCCATACAGTTGTCTGACATCTGAGTTGAGCTGTTTCAGGCAGTGTTGCATCGCGCAAGGGCATGCGCGAAGTGTCTGCCGTAAAGTGACCTGATGCAGTACCCCAGGGCAGCATGGCCAGAGCCTCAGATTGGCTGTGTTTGATTTTGGAATAATTTTTGGTTGTTGTGCCTTCAGAAACCCTGTACTACTAGATTTTTCCCATTTACCACAGTCACATGATCCCAGAGTTTTAAGAAGTGGTTTTCCTGTCGTTCGCAGACCATTTTGATCCTTCAGTTTATGCCCTCTTGTTTGTTGTAGCCTGTGCTTTTTCTTTCGTGTGTTACTCAGCTATGCTATTCTTTTTTCCACCCTCCCCAGACTTTTTAACTACATTTTTTTCCTTCCTTATTAAATCCTTCCCCAGTTTCCTATAAAAAGTCTCTAAGCATCTTTCTTAGAATTATTTGATACTGCAAACCTGTGTGTAAAATACAAAGGAAGCTAACAGTTGAAAATTAGCTTCTGTTCTACCAAGCTGTTAGTCAGTACTCCTTCAAAGGCTTGGGCAGACAGACAGCAGCCGCACCTGGGAACTGACTAAGAACGAAAGTGTTCTGCTGATTTACCCCAGACCTTTTGAAAGTCTGGGGACCTCAGCAGTCTGACCTCCCTGGTAAACACCCTGCTTTACTCTATACAACAGTTCCACGCAGACAAACTGGCCCAGAATGTAGTTCTTTTTGCTATTCAGTCTAGGAAAGATTGCAAACAAATCTAAAGTAACTTAAAGAATTTTTAATTGGCTAATAGTAAATAATGATTATTGAGCCATTTTATGTGCCAAACTGCTGAGTCTGGAGGGCTTGTCTGTTTTATAAAGGTTATAATACTGGATTAAACATGTTGATGATCAGCTGGACATTGGTGGTGCACATCTTTAATCCCAGCATTTAGGAGGCAGAGGCAGGTGGATCTCTGAGTTTGGGGCCTACATGGACTACAGAGAGAGTTCCAAGAAACCCAGGGCTGTTACACAGACAAATCCTGTCTTAAAAAAACAAAAGAAAAATATATCTTAATTAATGCAGCTAATTGTAAGGTTGACTCTTTGATAGAGTAAAGTCTCTACTTAAATGTCTTTTTAATACAAATCACTAGAGTTTTCTTGATGTTGACCTTTTTCAAAGTGCAAAGCAAAGTTTTATTCTGTTTAATGTTGATCTTTAATGTGAATGATTTTTAAAATAATATATTCAACTTATATATGTGACTTAATTTACATGTAATAATTGCACATATATCTGATACAGTGTGACATTTTAACACATACATGGGTGTGTGTGTGTGTGTGTGTGTGTGTGTGTGTGTGTGTGTGTGTCCATGTCCATACACATAGAAAGTATGCAATGACCAGGTCAGGCTGAGTAATCGCTTTAGGGAAATTAGGTTTTTTTGTTTCAATTTCATAAAATATTCTTCATTTTAAAGTGGCATATATAAGGCATTACAGGATATGTCAGGCTTTAAGAACATTGGGTAAAATCCGGGAAAAATCCAAACTTAAATATTTATTTAGGATACAAAGACATTCTCTGATAATTATCGGCTCTCACATAAAAATTTTGTGAAGTATATTTCTCAGTAGTTGTCACACAGATGAAGATCTTGATATGATGCAGTCGGTGGTGTTCTAGAAGCATGCAGCCAGTTCCTTTCCTTATAGTTACTTCTTTTTTCAGCAGTAGTGATGTAAGTCCATTTGTTTTCTGCCAGTGCTTCTTTGGCTGTTTAAATTGACATCCTTCTTTAAGTTAGATTTTCACATAATACTTTCTATTAAGGCTTTGTAAATAACTTAAAATATATCTCTTCAGATATCAAATCTTTGAGCAAAGAAAATAGATATGGAAAATATTATTAACAGGGAATAATGAAGTCTGGAAACATTTTTTTGTCTTTTCCATTGCTTTATTTACATTTAATTTTTTGAATAGACATATTCATAAAATTTGAAAGTATAAAAAGACATACTAATCTCTTTACCGTCCATCTCCCAGAGTTCCCATTTCCCATCCCCACAACTACATCCTTTGGTACGAGGTTTCTTGGAGAGATGTTTTATACAAATGTCAGGCAGATATGTTTTAAATTCCTCTAATGCTAATACTAGAATGCTGTTGTGTTTTCTTCTTTTATATTTAATGAGAATTTTTGATACAGATCCATATTCCTGTATTTAAAACAGCTTCCTTACTTGCTTTCCAGCCATATCATGTTTGAGTGTATGAAACCAATTTATCCAGTTTATTAATAGACTATTTTTATCGTTTGCAGACTTTTGCCATTACAGACAGTGCAACAGAGCTTTGTGCTTGGGTTCATATGTGTGCCAGTTTTATCTAGAAGGCACATGTGTAGAAATTTAAGATAGGTGGATATATAAACTACCAACTCTCCCTCCTTGTTTGGTAATGTTCCTTTTGCACCCATGTTGAACTGAAGTCTGATTACTCCGGTGTAGCCCAGTGTCGCAGTCCCATGAGTGCTGGGGTTGCAGGCATAAGGAAACCTGGGTGGTTTACACATCTTTGTATTTTAAGACTTTTAGTACTATGGGAAAAGTCACCATAAGCATGTAAAATTTTACTTCAGCATTGTGCCAGTATTCGGCATGATTTTTTTAAAGAAAAATATAACAAGAATAAGATAAGATACTTGTGCTTTCTAAAAATACAGTCATGAAATTCTTAATGACTTGAGGAAAGCATCATGGGCTACAAATATAAACTGGTGAAAAAATTAAATTCCTACCAGACTTATTTCATTTCATTTGTATTTAATAATAATTTAAATCCGAAAATCAAAATGCTTTAATCCTTCAAGAAAGTAAACTTCTTTGAAATTCATTTTTAGAAGTATAGTTGAGTAGAATCTAAACAATTCACAATGCCAACTTTGAGTACTTCTGAAAGCAGGAAGTGTATTACTGACAAGCAGAAATATTCCAGCCCAAAGAACATCCCTACTGCCATATGTGGTAAGAATTTGTCACTAACCCACAAACCACTTCTGCAATGCAGTGAATAAGCAGAATTAGTCTTTGTTGGACATTTCCAGTCCACTCTGAAAGAACTTTGTTTTGCAGTGTTTTACGAGTAATTATTAGCGTATGCCTTGGAGAGCCTGGCACATCATGGGTGCTCCTGCGTTACTGAGAGAAGAAAGCTATGCATAATAATCTTTGAGTATGATTTTAAAACTTGCTTAGTGAGACCCTTTATTAAACACAGAAATTGTCAGCTTATTGATATTTTTAAATAAAATTACTTCCAGTTGCTCCCCTTGCTGTTGACTTGGAATAAACATTAATCTTTTGGTTGCACTTACTCTAAAAAAAATTATTCTTAGAGTTAATTTTTTAAGGGATAGGGAAACTAACAGTTTAGAGGAATAGGAAAATTAGTTGTGAGGAATTGGGTCAACAGAATTCATTGAAGAGTTCTTTGTAAATCATTAACATTTTGAAAATATCAATGTTTCTCTAAACTTGAATTTTATTTTCTTGTATTTTAAGCGATTAAGAAGATTGTCTACCAAATATAGAACAGAAAAGATTTATCCCACAGCCACTGGAGAAAAAGAAGAAAATGTTAAAAAGAACAGATATAAGGACATACTGCCATGTAAGTTTGAAATGCCCTTGATAGACTAAATAGAAATGCTCTCTAGCCCTTTGTAACCCCACTAGCTTTGTTCTTGAGTTGGATAGCTAAGAAGGTAGTATCAATCCTTCCCAAGGTACATTACACAGTAATTTGTAACTGTGCTTCTTAGAAGCCCTTCCTTCTTATAGCAGTATTTTACAAAAAAAAGTAATGTAGACAATTGGGATAGTTTCTTAAGATGCTAAACCACTGATTTATCTTCTATCTGATCACAGAGGAGCCTTAATCGATTAACTATTAGTTTTTTTTAAAAATTAACCATCAGATGCCTCAGAAACCTGTGTGTCTACTGTCCTCAGTAGTCTAAGTCTCTAAGCATGTCTAAAGTTGAAAACATAGTTTCATAATATTGTTTTCTAGCTAAGTAACTTTAAACACATGCTTACGTGAGAGATTAAATTTTATAAAAAGTATTTTGCCTAGGTCTTGCTTCTTCTTAAAGCTGCTATAGTGTTTTCTTTCAAGTATCTACATTCTGTAACACTGTTTCCTTACCTGTCATTATTAAAGCCTCTCTCAAAGATATCCTCATTTTCTCAGTGACCTGGTACATAACCTCCCTAGATCCAGTGGTCCTTTTCTTCAGTGTTTTTTTTTTTTTTCTTTCCTATGAAGTGTTTTTATGCCACTGGCCAGTCCCTTTTCTGAATATTTCTTCCATGATAACCCTCTTTCAGATCGTGTCTTCCTGCTCTTGTTTTCCCTCTGTCCTCTGATTTTTTGTGTGCATGTGTATCTGTGTGTATTGGAGGCTGGTGAGAAGTCAGCCCTGGGTATAGTGCTTTAGGAGCCACTTCTGTTTTTGTTTATTTGAGGTTTGGTGTATCACTGTGGCTGGGGGCTTTCCAATTAGGCTAGATTACCTGGCCAGCAAACCTCAGGGATCTATCTACCTGTGTCCATTTCCCTAGTGCTGGGATTACAATTACCACGCATGCCTGGCTTTTTTATGTGGATGGTGGGAATTAAACTCAGGTCCTCAGACTTGTACAGCAAGCACTTTACTGATGGAGCTATCTCACTGGCCCTCCTCACTGGTTTCTTTGCCTAAATTTAATCCTCCTAGTTTTGTTAACTGTTGTACATTATTCTCAACTTGGACCATGTGATTAGACAG